ATTGAAAACTAGAAGCATGGCCCGGCGTTGCCCGTGCTTGATTCAAAAATCGTACGCCTCATACAGCAATCGCTATCACTTGACTTAAAATATTTTAGCACTTACTTGCCTTTAAAGGAGTACCCTTTTCCGTGCTGATATTGCTACATGCCTTACTTCTTGCCTATCTCACACTGCGAATTTTTTCTAAGCTCTATACTAAACATTAAATCTGTTACGAAAAAAAAACTAAACAAAATGAACACAAAACGATCAGATTTAGAAAAGGACACGTAACTGGAAAAAACGAATGAAAACACAATGTAAACAACAAATACTTTTTCACACCCAACCCAGTTTCCTGAAATATTGAGACTGGTCATACTACTTGAGCGGGGTTGATGTTGACCTTGTTTTGTTAACCCGGTACTTTGGAAACGATACATTGATCCGATTTTAAGTTCAAATAAAAAGAGCTCAAAAGTGTTTAACAACGCGAAGTCAACTTCACAGAGTGAAAATGAGGTGAAAACCTTAGATGTATTGGGCAGCATAGTGCAAGCGAGACGTTAAATTTAAAACACCCAAAATCCATATGACCTGCGAGTTAATCGTTTTTTTTACAAAGTTTGAGTCCCAAATAAAAAAAATCAGGCTCCGAAATGACACAATGACGTAAATTGAAAAATCGGATCTGGGATGCAGTCTGGGAGAAAGAACAAAGTTTAAAGAAGTGGGAAATGGACTGCTGAGGGCATGGTCAACACGGAGGTTTGTATTGATTTTTGAGTCACGACGGGGTCACACGGTAGTCTATGCAAGTCACCTCTAACTGGGCCGCGTAGGAATTTCTGGTCGAATTGTAAAGAACGCCCGAAATTTTAGAATGTAATCCGCCCAAATGCCGGAGTACCAGCCGATTTACCAATTTTTTGAAAGCCTGAGTCCAAATTGAAAATCTGTCTCCGTTACGAATTGACGCCGTAAATGTCGGAAGATGAAACGACATTTCAAGTTAATTGCAGCTTGGGCGTAAAAAGAAGTCAAAAACTGACAGCTGATGTCAGATGCCGATGTACCCTTCATTTTTAGAAGTTCCCCATTCCCATTCGCACCCTGTTTTGCTATGACAATTAATAAGGCACAAGGACAAACACTGTCTGTCACTGGTGTACACTTAGAGGAGCAGTGCTTCTTATACGGCAGGCACGATGATGTGTTCCTTTATTCACCCTCACAAAAAGCTGAAAATTTTGTCTACACTGAAGTCTCCAGCCAGTCCTCTGCAAACTCCATTCCATTTTTCCTTTCCATGCAAGGAAATTCTAATGAACGTAACCGGGATCCCCACTTTAAGTTCCTGAATGTGAGGAGAGATGCCAGAGGGGTGGAGGCTGTTTAAGAACTCCACTGAAAAGTTCGCCATTTCAGCGGGGTCTGGAGTTCTGTCAATGGATTTGTAAACGTGCAATATCTCTGGCACACTTTCCAGAAGCTGTCTATTAAGGGTTGTCAGAGTTGTGTTTTTTGGGGTAAGAATTTCCCGCCCAGCAAGCGACTCAATATTGTTGTAGTTGGGTTAAAGATCAGGAAAAACTGATTCACTGAGTGTTGCTGGTGTCGTGACCACTGTAAACAACACTTGGACGTTTACAAATCCATTAGTGTCCGCTGAAATAATACCTTCGCCAAGGGCTAATAATGAATTCGAAAATTCGGAAAAGTTAGCTGTGCACGCATGTTGGTGGTAAGGTGCAATGGTATAACAGTGGACCAAATTTGTGACGATTTCAAGCAAGCTCGAATAGCGTCGGCCCCTCTCCCCTTACGTACAATTGGGAGGGTCTGGCGAAAGTCACCGGATAGAAGGACAGTTACACCTCCCATAAGGTCATCGGAGTTTCGAATATCCTTCATAGAGCGGTTTACATCCTCGAGTGCAGGTTTGGGACCGAGAGTACACTCATCCCAGACGATGAGCTTACATCGCCTGAGAACCTCTGCTAGACCTGATTGCTTAGCTCTACTGCATACAGCTATTTCTGCCTTAATCAGGTCAAGCGGAAGTTTAAACGTTGAGTGCACTGTTCGGCCACGCGTTAGTAATGTGGCAGCAATGCCTGAAGACGCTACTGCTAATGCCACTTCGCCATAGCGCCGAATTTCTGCAAGAAGCAGTTTTGTTACGAACGTTTTTCTCGTTCCCCCAGGCGCGTCCAGGAAGAAAATTGATCCATTATCCTGCTTGGTGGATGCAAGAACCGAATCGTAAGCGGCCTTTTGGTCTATGAGAAGATTTGGCTCATTTGTTGTGACATAGGCGTTGAGCTCCTCAACAGAGTAGGATGTCTCCCGCACAATCTCAGGTGAGAGACTGGATGAAGCCACACGATCTGGCGTTGGAAGTCCATATATCGGCGAGAGATTTCCCCCCATTTCAACAAAAAGGTTCACAATGATTATAAGCGCCCTGTTGTAAATTTAATCGTTGAAGAGCCATTGTTGGAGAAAGCATTTGCGCTTCTCTGAGTATGTCTTCGTAATTGTCCCAAAGAGATTTGGGATCACTGGGTTCGCAGATTTGTAAGATTGTGGTGAAGAGGTGGCGCAAAGCAGAGGGCATGTTTAAAAGAGCTCGCTCAGCCATTGTGACATCCCACTGGCTGTCGTCTTCCAAAAGGCCGAGACGGAGGCAGGCCTCACGAAAAATGTCACATAAAACTCCATTAAGCGTCCGTGAGTTATTGTAGCTCGTTGGACGACTACGTTTCTACAAAAGGAGTCGCAATAAAAACATTCCTGTCGCGATGGGTGGACCGTGAATACCCTTCCGAGAGTGGCATCTTTTTTGACGCCTGGATAGAACACGACGTTGGCCTCACACATCCGGCGAGCCCAGGTGTTCTTTTTTGTCCACACGTAGTATGAAGGCACGTACAGTAGAGTCCTAGCAAACTCGTCCTGTCGACAAAGTTTGAAGAACACTGTAACCGTTGTGTCTTTGGTACGCGCATCCACATCCATTGCTCTACCCGGAGAAAAATAACGAAGTACGTCGTTTTCTAGGTGCACAGCAAGCTGGACGATTGTTGGGAACCGTTCGTGGATGGGGAAGCTGAATATGTGCCAATTGCCCTCTGTGCTGCTAATGACGCGCCTTGCAAGTAAGATCTGGATTTCGTCTACGGAACCTTCCTGCATAATTCCAAACATTGCAGCATCAGTCCCTTTTTTGATGTACTTGCATACATACTTGATGGAGCGAACTGCATGTCAATATTCGACATTGATGTGCTGATTGAACGTTTTGTTAGCACGGGCCAGTATGGTACCACCCATCTGTTATCCACTTGGTGGCCCTTTACCACGGCTGTAAATCCTCCCTCAGCGGGACTCCTACTCGATAACCATCGCTCCCGGTAATGGTCTCGCTCACGAAATCTCGTGGTTACTGCCGGGTGCATTTGCCGTCGCTGTTTTGACATAAATCATGTTGATTGTCACTATTTCGTACAATTCAGGGTCATCCGACGGATCAGAAATTTCAGCAGAAATAAATGATCGATTTCTGTGGCCTCAGTCTTGTCGCACAGCCAAATTAGTATATGTGCGTTAGGCAGGCCGCGTTTCTGCCACTCAATAGTGTGCATGTGACAGCAAACAGCCCCCAAAACCTGGCCCATTGTAATCGCATCCTTTAGCTTTCCCAACTTCAGATGGTAAACGCTCGCAGTGAGGTCTGGAAGGATGTAGGCTGATTGCCCTTTCTTCAATAAGTTCTTTAGCAAATGCGTACCATTTTGGGTTACACGTGAAAGTTATGAATAGGTCTGGTCGGGCGTCCTTGCTTAACGTATGTCATCAAGTCTTGCGTCCTCGCGTGCATGTGTCGTGGACTGCCTGTGAACGTTGCAGGTAGTATGCACATCTTGCCTATATTGCGTGGATCAGCGTAATTTCATAAAGCATCACGAAGGTGAATGTAAGAGCCGCAGCGCAACTTGGTTTGATTCAATCTGATGTAACAGAGTCTTTCGCATTCCATCTTAGCATCCATGTCTATCATGAATTGATGGAAAAGTTGCCGGCTTCGATGAAGATGATTGAAGGCACCCTCATGTACCATCAATAGGTAGGCGTAGAAAGCAGTGCAAGACACCATTTTAAGGTGGACCCATTTTGCAGAATGCCAAAGTGGGTATTGCAGTGAATCGTAGGGCCGGTGTGTTTCACTTATTCTTCAGAGCCCACTGCTGCGCGATTCGATAACAATGACACGTCTGTTGTGCTGATCACCGCTGACAATGACGGAAACTTCGTTACTTGCGGGAGCATTGTAACGACGTTCATGCTCTCATTAATGAAATCAGAAGTTGTGTTATTTTCGAGACCATACTTAAAACTGCGGACATAGCTGTTTGTCTCGTGGAGCATTTGTTGGAGTCTCATTATGATATCCCTGCGAGGATGATTGTCCTGGCCTGTATCGTTCTCGGGTATAATGCTCATGCGGGCATCTGCCTGTTGATTTTAGTCAGCTATGAAGTATATTTGTAGAAAAGCCGAATCAGTGGCAGTTTCCGGCAAAAGAGATCCAATCCGGTGGTAAACCTGACCTTGAACATTGAAGGTGGGATTCCAACCGACTTAGCGGAATGCATTGCCACCAACATAGGTCATCTGGAGGCACTATTTTACTATCTGATTTTTGCGAGGAAATGTTCGGACTCTGGACTGGAACCCTCCAACAGAGTTTTCAACGGAGCAGGTAGCTATTGAAAAGTGGCAGCTGTACCTTACCGTCTGAACAACACAAACCTGCAGACTCCCCAGGCCATTTTTTGGCATTGCAATGCCCACAGACAACTGACATGGTTTCTATTTGGAGGTCTTTGCGACCTGAAAGCCTCAAAACTGGCTCATAGTTGAACGCCAGCTTAAATCTAAATTGCTTTGGTTGGCTACAGTGCCCTCGCTGTGCATGGCGGCGCTGGTTAACATTCTGCAGCCTTTCAAGCCTTTCAGTAGGTCCTTCTACAGCTTTCGTAGCGGAAGTTGAAAATTGCATCGCGTTGCCACCTTGTGGGCTTTTGCGTGGAAATTTCCGACGCCCTTGCAGCAAAAGTTACAGAGGCGTCGGCTACATGGCGTGCGGTTGTCTCAGCCATGGATTCCTGGGACCGTCGAATGAACGTTGCTGCAGCTTTCGCTGCGTTACTTGCGGTTTTCTCAGCCGTGGTCTCCTGGGACCGTCGAATGGAAATTGCAGCGCCGTCGGCTGCATTGCGAGTAGCTTTTTGATGCGGGCTCTGTCGAGACCGCAAAAAGCGCTTGTGATGAAGCCGCTTTTTTGTTGTCTTGCATGCGTTTAGGTAGTTTCCTCTTACTTTTCAACGAATATGTGTAAACTGATTTGCAATACAAACGGTAGTTACGCTCACCAAGCGTTTCATTTGACAAAACATACTGCTTCCGTTGAGGTTGTCTGGAAAGCCTCAAAGAGGCCTCTACCTCAGTTTCCTCCTCCCGCTTTCTCTTTGACGCAGAGGCTCTTTTAGAACGCCTGCTAAGGTTGTCTCGCCATGGTATTTTGGCACGCTTAGCAAAGCTGCCTGGTCGGTCATCGCCCCGGCACTCAGAAGTGTGCAAAGCAGAGGTTGAAGCAGACGCTAGCCGCTTCTCCTCCAAGGAGGCGCACCGTTTCACCTTAGCCGGTGAGGCTTTTTTAGAATGCCCGCTAAGGTTGCCTAGCCTGGATTTTTTTGCAACCTTTGCAGAGCTGCCGGGTTGGTCATCGCCACGGCACGCAGAAGAGTGCAAAGCAGAGGTTGAAGTAGACCCTATATGATCATCTGTAACCGGAGTTATTATGTGCTCTTCCGCAGTCGCCTGTTCTGCATGTGTAACGTTAACGGTATTAGGGAACTTCAGTTGCTGACGTGTGGATGTTGGTCGTGTAGGAGCCATTTGAAGGGTCGTAGAAATGCTGTGTAAGAATGCGAATAGAAGTTGATGCCGAAGCTGAAGCGGTGCAACCTCGTTGTATACGAAAACTAAAAATGCAGTGGAGCCGTATGGAAAAGGCTTCTCTTAGCTATGGACCGTGCTTTCTGGCTGCACGACAACGTCGTTGTAGGAAGAGGTTACGCAAACAAAACGTAGAAGCACTGAAGGTTAAAAAGTAGTGAAACACTGATGTTTAGTGGGCCGCGTATTAAAAGCAGAAGAGAAGTAACTTTCGACAGCAGTTAACTGTCTAATAGCAAAATTGAACTGCGAAAAGGTAGAAATAGGTATGGAACACTAAGATGGACTGGGCTGCGCAGTCGAGGCAGCACGCGGAGATAAAATGGGTAATGCAAACGTTTAAGCAAACAGGTAACTTGCGGTAACAGGAAGCTGTCAATTAATCCAAGGACAGATGCGTTAATGGCGATCAAATCGAGTCGTGAGTGTGGATGCAGCCGCGCTGAAGGTATTTAAATTGAGCGTGACTTGTCATTGATTGGTGTAGCCTGGACAATGGCTATGACTTAGACGAATGAATGATCTCACACAAAATGGAAGATGCTAGTGCGCATTTACGCACACACGCATGATTTGGCAAGCGCAAAGCTAGGTTGTAAACGGGGTCAAGCTGCCTGCTGCTTAGCTCTAACGCACGGGATGCCGGCGATGAGAATGCAAGGAGCTGCAATGAAGCGTTTGCTCGTTTGATTTGTGCGACAACAAAAAGCCGCTAACCGTTTGCCGGCATTAGTTTTGAAATGGATCGGGAGGAAGACCTGCTGTTTTAGCGCAAAAAACTCCTCGTCAGGTCTGGGATGCGGCCTGGGCTAGGGGAAAAAGTATAAAGACTATTTTAACCATTTTAACTCAGCACGTATGCGGGTTTTTTTTTCAGTAAAGCCGCGAATAAAGGAAGTGGTTATTTTGGTAAGGTTCGACGATTAAAGCAAAAGTACTGACAAAGTCGAATATGACATTTCTGTCAGAACTGGTAGCATGGATATTAAGGCCGAATTTCAATGGCCCTGCACCCATTCCAGAATTTGAGTTCAAATGTTTTTTTTCCACTCCACTGTACGCACTGACTTTTTCTTTCCGCGGATAGCGTGACCTTAAATTAATCTGCATTTAGGAAATACCCAACCGGAAAAAAACATTTTTAAGGGTTGACCGATTGTCGATTTGCACTCTGTTTGGAGGGGCGCTCAGAGTTGAAACTTCACATGGTGACTCCCAATGGCCTCCTCATAAATCCGGTCAGTTTTCGCTAAAACCGACATGCGGTTCAGGCACAATCTGGGCGTTTCAGATTTTTCGGTTTTATCGATTTTCCGCGCTGTTTAGGCGTCCTTGGTCATGAAACTTCTGGACAACACTTCTAATGGTAGACTCTAAGAGGGTGTCAAATTTGGTTGAAATGCGATCATTCCTTCTGTATGCAGATTTTTTCGATTATCGATCTTTTTCGATTATCGATTTTTTTCGATTATAGATTTTTTTCGATTATCGATTTTTTCGGAACCTGAGCCCGAACTTAAAAATCGGGCTCCGTCATGTCCTTACGGCAGCCATTTGTAAACTTATGGTGAAAACCGCATCGAAATCGGGTGAGAAAAGCGGCCTGGGCGAGGTAACAACGCCCACGACAGACACACAGACAGACAACATGAGAAATATAGATAGATAGAAGATAGATAGATAGATAGATAGATAGATAGATAGATAGATAGAAAATAATTTTTGTTGCAAGCAATGATTGACAGCGTAAGAAAATCGTAAATTATTGAGAGTTCACATGCTACACAGTTGGCTAGCTTTGAAGAAATCGAACAGAGACAGATAAAACCCCATCAACAGATATAAAAATATGTAGGAAAACTTTGCAAAGGAAGACAATAATACAAATGCGAAAAACAGCTATTTATGTTTAAATATATGTTCAGTCTTTTGAATAATTATTTAAAACCTAAAGAACAAGCGATGTAGAAATAAATCAGGTTTGCTAGAATTGGTTTCCACATGACTACTGTTAGTAAATAATTTTTAAAATAAAATCTTCAATATTCTTTCGTCGCAGAATTAAAATACCTTATACACATTCCCCAAGGAAATACAGCGATATATGATACGGTATATGCAGTAAATAAGTAAACATTGTAATGTCACAGAGTGCAATGAGGCGACCGCTCATCTAAAAACAACAACAAAAAAATTGGGAAAGAATTACACAGAAAATATGTTTAGGAAAAAGGCAAATTCAACGACGGATATATGACATACGCATTTAATGTCCAGTCATAAAATGACAGATCTTTATACATTAGTAAGTGTGAGAAAGGTCATTGCATCTATGACAAGATTCTAGGTGGTAAAATTTTGCTCATGTTATTTATGTTTGGAAAGTTTAATTTACAAATCCTCGTTTAATATCAGAAAAATAACAGGTAATGTGATAAAAATGAAAATATTAAATCCCTTTCGCGTGAGTATAAAAGCATTTCTTTAGTAACATCAATGTAAATATTCTCTAAGTTAAACAATTTTAATGAGGGATAGTAATTAGAGACTAAAATTGATATTATTCTATGGTCTTAATTATCAATAATTTATTATTACTAGTATATAAGCATTCCATCCACAACTCATAGTGTTGAAGCTCTTTTGAAAACGAACACTCCTCAGATCCTAATGTTCTAGTAGTTTCAATTCGGCTCTCGGAATCAAAATTCCGAGACATTATTTATTACAACTCCTAAATATCCAAGCCAGTAACAACTGGTATTCTGAAGCGGCAATGCATCTAAGTCCTGACCAGTTTCGACGTTTTTTTTTAATTTCAATGATCGCATGAGAACAAGCGTTCCAACGTGAATGACCATTCTCACCTAGAGTCATCATAATTAGTGCTGCAATATCATATTGGAAAAAAATGAATGCGGGAGGGGGTAAATTTAATTGAATTTAACGTTTCTTCATTGTAATTCTCACGGACTTTCTATAAAAAGCCTTCAGTTCTGCAAATCTTTTGAATTCTATGCGACCATTTCTTGTATCACTAGCTTCAACATTTTTTATTAGCTCATAAATGCATCTGTTTTCTGAAATCAATATAATTTCAACTGATTGATCCGGTATCGATTTTACTCTGCTCTATAAAGCAGTTCCATCTTCAATATTTTACGTGAACAGCATGCATATTATCCCAAAAATATACCTAAAAAATATTTTTCGCTTGAAAACGTCAATCATTTTGATTGTTGTCGCATTTTCTTTTTTTCTTTCTTTATTTATTTCTGTATTCATTGTTAATTTTTTTTTTTCGATTTACTCCAGTTTTAAAATACTTTATTTTAAAGTACTTTATTTTAAAGTACTTTATTTTAAAGTACTTTATTTTAAAGTACTTTATTTTCATAATAATTTTCTTTATTAATATGATATAACGTCAATTCAAAGATCTTGTTACTCTGGCATTTTTTTTTCTTTAGATGTCAGATTTTGATAGTTCCTGTCCTTTTAATACATCGCCTCCATTATTCTGCTTAATTCCTCTCAGTTTACGAATTAAATGATCGCATTTTTCTATCAATCACTCGAAATCATTAGTTCAATTTTAGTTTGATTTTAAATCCGCATATTTAATTTATCTTCCATTAGATTTGTATTTATATTTTCTTCTATTCATAATTTAAGCATTTTTAGGTCTTTACTGGTTTTCCCCCATAATAAATATTCTATAACCATCTTTGATATTTCTTGCCTTATCCCACGTCTTTAAGATTTTAGCGCCGATATTTTTCTAAACTCGCAATCGTGGATATTGATATTGTCATTTTTTATATACATAAATATTGCTGTTTTTACATATGTTTATTATGTTTTTCCATTTGATTAGTTGGGACGCTTTCAACCTCATCTTTCTAAATTCTTTCTCTTGGTGGCCAGGCATAGTTTCCATCTCCGTTTGGATTATTTTTACAGCTTGAAACATCATCTGAATTGCCTTTCATCAGTAGCTGTATGTATGTATGCTTGTGCAGGCATGAGGTAAGATTATTTTGAAAGAAAATACGTATGCTGTTAATTGAGCGTTTATATGTTTGAACATTTCGCATTCGGAAATTATAATCTCATTAAAATTTTGTCGTTGAGAGGGTTCACTTTTCTCACATCTCACGTAAACAAATACCAAAAAATGCAATCTGAATATTGACTGCATTTACTTATCTTTTGAAAATTTATATGCATTAATAATTAGAAAATGCGGGTATAAAATAGAACAAAGTGGATGTTATTCACATATGAATTTTACGAAAGTTACGAGTGAAATCCTCTGCTATTTTTAAATAAAATTAAAATGATACGGCAAATGTTCGAAAATGTACTAGCGATTCTGCAAAACATTCTCCATTTTGGACAAATGTATATGCATTTCATTTGAACTTGACTGAGTATTACACTCTTTTATTAAAATCAGATATTATCGTTATTTTCTGTCTTCATTTCCTCTAAATCACTTTTGAATATACTCGGTTTAACAGTTTGTTATTTGTTAATGATTCATAGACGAAGGAATATTCAAATAACTAAATATACAGTATGTCACCTTCGTATGAAGACGAGACTATGATGCAAATAATAGTAGTTCATTATTGCTACGGCAAGATCACTTGCTTTATAGCTTTTTCGTGTGTCAGTTTTTGTTTAAAAGATAGATAATTTCCTTCCGAATTAAAGGCCAAATTACGTACTGATTACAACACAGATCATTTTAATTATGAGGAAATGACAAGCCGCTGTTAATTAGTTACGTATCCTGAAATTGAGGTTCATGTTTTATAATATTTTGTCATTCTTTCGCCTTATTAGAATTACTTACACAGCCTTGGAGTATATATCAACGAGAAATGTTTAGTATAAACTATGACTGACAGGTTCGATCATTCACTGTATCTTCTTCAGAATTTTCACAAATATCTTTTTTGGCTTTGGCTTTCATGCTGACACATGGTAAATAAATATGTATTTACCATCTGTATATTAAGGCTGATATGACAAATGAATATATTATAGAAAGAGATGTTTTATAATTATTTTTCTTTCAAACACAATTTCTGTCACCATTTCTTTCTCTCACTTTCTTTCTCAACATGGACCAGTCAAAAACAGCAAATGCTACAACCACACGCAACAATGAATTCTGAAATCCCAAAACATCGCCAAACATAATAATTCTTCCGTATTTAAAACATAATAATTCTTCCGTATTTAAAACATAATATATGTTCTATAAAGGAAATATCAGTATTATTATATTGATTTTGCAAGCGTAGCTTAGATGCGGAATAAGGCTGAAAATAAGGGGCACACAGTGAGGATCGAACTCACTACTTAGTTGTAACTGTCCTAGCGAGACTAGCGAGTAACCATTACACTGCCTCGAGATGTTTGAACATCAATCAGTATTATTATAAATAAAATTTTGACTAAGATATTTGATGTATTTTTCAATAATTTAATACTGATTAAATTCGCGGAGAAAATATCAGCTTGAAAACAATTTCTAAACTCGAATTTTATCTAACTGAATAAACATTTCAATTATGCAATGAATAACTTTTTGCACTTAAATAATATTTTAAACAGGTATACGACACATTGCTCTGATTTTTCAACTAAGGCTTATTGATATATTATACTAGAGGGTTGGATCTATTTGATGGCAACGTTATGACTCCATTCTTCTTCCATCAGGGAGTGAAATTCAACATGGATGTTTATATAAAATGTCTTGAGGTGATAGACAACTTCTGCAGCCATATCACCACCTTATATCTGGTCATCTAAGTCCCCAGACTGCAACCCCTTTGATTATTATGTGTCAGACGCAGTTGAGCGAGAGACCAACAAAACTCCTTATAGCAAAAAGTTGACATGAAGGCAGGAGATTCCAAAGTCGTCTGGAGGCTGTGGTTGAAGTCACTGGAGATTACGCATGGATTTTTTCTGTCATTCTGGTAAATATTTCTGTTAAAATGGTATGCCAGATTTATTTTCCTTTTTACATAATTTAGAAAACTATTTATCCATTGCACCCTGTATGTATGTATACATGTATTTCTATATGCGTGGTTATTTATGGAAGCTGATATCGGAGTGAACGAACGTGTTTTTTATTGTTTAAAAATGCGATGTAGTATTTTAAAATGGAACTTTGATGATATTAATTATCAGTTTATTCTTAAATCTTCGTTGTTTATTATACTAGAATTTTTTTTATATTATTATGCATTTCTTATCTTTAATTATTCAAATACATATGTGCTTATATTTTTAAGATAAGTCGTGGTATGCAGCGATTATTTCATTTTTAAAATACGTGTTATTTATCAAATTTAAATTATTAAGAGTGTCTCACTAAAAATTATTATATTAACAAAATTCAGTACCCCGTATTTATTAAATCACTCAAAAATTGGTATGAATAATTCTACTCTCTTTTATATTTAAGCGTTACATTTTCTTTTCATGAATGGGGACGTATCTCTGTTGTAGTTGGAACCATCGGATTGGTTGGAAAAGATTCCAGTAGACTAATTGAATGTATTCCTGGAAGCCCATGCCTTAAAGAAATACAAAAAATTGTTCTCACGAGTACAGCCCACACCTTACACATAGGGCTTTATCTATGTAAAATATGTGCGTGTGTTTTTGCTTTAATTTATCAGCGGAAAATGCCATGATGTTATTTCTAACCTTAGGTTTCTGGGCGGGGACCGGAAAGAAATGTGTATACACTAGAAATAAAAGGAAA